TACAGAAAATGAAATGGATTTTTCTTTTCTTTAAGACATCAGCGTCAAAGGTAGGGATCAGCCTCAGCTACCAAGTCAAATGTCTGCTCAATATCTGCAAAATTCATTGGTGTTTGTCTGTGGCAGCCATCTTGAATTGGGTTGACTCCAAAAAGTAATTCGTTTTTGATTGAGTATTTTATTGATTACTTTTTGCCATTTAATTTAAACATGTTAAGTGATTCATGCAATATTTGCTAACAGTACAGGCAAACACACAGACACTTCACGGTGAGTGATGGAAATACATCTATAAGTGAAAAAGGAAGAGAAAACATCACTGTGGTTCAGTTTGATGTTTTCAGTATGCACATGTGAACCACTGACTGTGAAAATACTCTTTAGCATGAGGAGATCTGAAGCAGAATGGTGGAAAATAATGAAAACCACCAAGAAACATAAAATAAACAGACCAAGAATGTCTGCTTTAGGACAAGATAAAAAATACAAAGTTATTGATAGAAGCAATAAATTGGTATAATACAATATATTACAATACTGTTTAATACAGTACAATGTGCCATAAGACTGCAGTAGCCAAGTGATCAGTGCTGCAATCTTGTAAACCTAAGGCTGAAAATTTGAGCCCAGGTTTTGTCAGGAAGGACATCAGTATAAAACAATTGTCACACATTTCATGTGACTTTCTTTGCTGTGACCACCCCTACAGAAGAGAGCAGCCAAAAGTAAAACAACAGTAAAATAAGATTTAATGCACCTTACTGACCCCATTGTTTACAATGAAATTAAGACAAGAGGTGATGTCATGCCCCTCAGCAGCCAGAGCCTGTAGAAACAGAGCTAAATGGAAAGCTTAGGGTAATCCAAGTCAGTCCAAAGTAACAATTTTACCCACCGATAAATAAATCTACAGAGCTTACTTATCAAACTCATATGAGAGCCCATTCCACAAAAATAAATAAGCTTTACATTTATTCTATTTACCTTTGGGCAGATTTTGTAGTGCAGTTGTTAGAGAGTGGATTACAAGTCCTTATGTGATAGGTAGGTCAAACTGCAGGACAAAAAAGTCATTTGCAAGATTAGAAATTCTTTAGAAATGATTTGAAGGTTTTCTTTATTTTGTGAATTTTGGAATCTTCTGCAACTTAGTTTTTTATCTCTGTTTATAAAATTCTGTTTGTCATATATTTAAGATTTTGCTTAATTTTTCCAAATTCCTTTAATTTTCCATTCAATTTAAATACATAGTGAAATTGACTTGCTGTTTGCTTTGGAGTTGATGCATGAAGGAGTTATTCACTTGAATAAAAACATGCAAAAAAAAAACACGTATCACCTACAGCACATCATGTTTTACTATTTTTTTTCTTCCACAAGTTCTTCAAGTGATTTTATGTCTTAGACCTAATCTGCACACCACAGTCTTCACTCACAGAACAAATAGGAGCTGGCAGAATAAAAGACACTGGATGTTTGTTTGTTTGTTTGTTTGTTTGTTTGTTTGTTTGTTTGTTTGTTTGTTTGTTTGTTTGTTTGTTTGTTTGTGTGTAAATTAGAAAATTGTTCAAGGTTAAGTTTGTTGTAAGTTTGAAATTATTATTTTTTAAATAATGGTCAGTTATGACAACATATCTTCCGTTACTCTGCAACCTTTTCATTCAAAATGTTTCTTTTTTATTATTGTATATATA